CCGCGCTCGCACAGGGCACACGCCTGCGTGTCGGCCGGGCAGCTGACGCAGAGCCGGCCGCAGGGGGAGCACCCGCCTCCGGCGGCCGTCGAGTAGCCCACCGGGCAGGAGGCGACGCAGCGCACGGGGGACTGCCCGGCTGGCAGGGCCAGCAGCTCGCCCGGGCAGGCCGGCAGGCACTCGGTGCTCCGGGTCCCGGCGCAGGCAGCGCACGACGCGTGGCAGGGGAGGCACCGGCCGGCGACCGGGGCATGCTTGGCCGCGCACTCCTGCACGCACTGGCCGTCCTGCAGCAGGCCGCCGGTGCACCGCCAGCAGTCCCGGTCCGAGGGGCCGTTGCAGGTGGCGCAGGCCGGGTCGCACGCCTCGCAGGAGCCGGACACCGTGTCCCGGTACCGGCCCTCCGGGCAGCCGGACGCGCAGGAGAACAGGCCGTCAGCCTCGGCGACCATGTCCAGCCCCGGGGCGCACTCGGTGCACTGGTCGCCGGCGGGCCCGGCGCACTCGTCGCAGCTGACGTCGCACGGCTGGCACGACTCGCCGTTGGAGTGGCTGCCGGCCGGGCAGTCCGTGGCGCAGGCGCCCCCGCGGAGGAGCACCAGCCCCGGGGCGCATTCCAGGCAGGTGCTCGGGGTGCAGGCCAGGCAGCCGGGCAGGCAGGGCACGCAGGCGGCCGTGTCACCGGCCGCCGGCGGGCCAGCCTGCCACCGGTGCCCCGGGGCGCACACCTGGCACCGGTCCGGCCCGCCGGCGCACAGGACGCAGGTGCTGCCGCACGCGGTGCACCGGCCGGGCCCGGGGAACTCGCCCGGCGGGCAGATGGACCCGCAGAGCGACCCGGCCTCCGGGTCGGGGCTCAGGAAGATCAGCCCCGGCAGGCAGGCCGTGCAGCTGGCCGGGCCGTCGCAGGCCAGGCACGACCCGGCGCATGGGTGGCACTGGCCCTGGGTGGTCAGGAAGTGGCCGGGCTCGCATGCCTGGCACCGGTCCGGCGATTGGCAGCCCCGGCAGGCGGCCGGGCAGAAGACACACTGGCCCTGGTGGTTCAGCATGCCGGCCGGGCACTCGTCCAGGCAGGACCCCTGGTACAGGACGGCCCCGGGCCGGGCGCACGTCCGGCAGGCGTGCTCGTCGCCCGGGGCCCGGCACTCGCCGCATTCCGAGTGGCAGGGGTGGCAGCGGTCGGCCAGCGGGTCGGCCTCCGGCAGGGCCATGCCGCCGGGGCAGGTGACACAGACATGCCGGCCGAGGGGCGGGTCGGAGGTGGTGCAGTCCCGGCAGTCGGCATGGCAGTCACACTGGCCGGAGGGGCCGGGGCCGGCCGGGTGCAGGCCCTCCGGGCAGGCGGCCAGGCACCGGTCCGGCATGCTGGGCAGGAAGTGCCGGCAGAGGGTGCAGTCGCTGGCGAGCGGCCCGACACACGCGGCGCACAGGGCATGGCACGGCTCGCATGTCACGCCGAATGTGCCCTCCGGGCAGGGGGACACCTCCAGCGCCACCACCAGCGGGGCCTGGCCCGGGGCCGCGACCAGCAGCTCGGTGAGCAGATCGCCGCCGGGGCCCGAGGCCAGGGCGCGGCCGGACGCGGGCCCCGCCGAGGCGGCCACCCGGTCGACGCGTCGGATGGCGGTCGCCTGCAGCGGGCTGCCCAGCGGCTCCGGCAGAGCCACGAAGGAGGCCGGCCCGAGGCGGCACAGCCCGGCCGCGTCGCACTGGAGCGGCGCCAGGCCGACGTGCGTGCGAAGCAGCAGCACCAGCCCGCTGGGCCGGGAGATGTGGCCACCCGGCGAGGCGCCCAGGCCCACCGGCAGGATCTGGTAGTTGGTCGGGTCCTGCCGGAGGGCGGCCTCGGCCGCGGCCGGCAGCTGGGCAAGCTGGAGCTGCGAGGCACTCAGGCCGGAGGTGCGGCCCTGCAGGGCGCTGCCCAGGGGCATGTGCGTGGCGAGCCAGGAGGCCGGCCCGCCGGGGGGGAGGTCCACCCCGGAGAAGACCACCTCGCCGGATTGCCGGGCCCGGTCCGGCGTCGGCAGGCTGAAGATGCGCATCGCCGGCAGCCGGACATGGAGGCCCTTCCGGCGAAGGACCGACCCGCGGGCATCCTTCAGGGGGAGGTGCTCCAGCGGGAAGAGCCCGGCCTCTTCGCGCTCAAGCAGGACCAGCCAGTCCTCGGCCAGCATGGGCAGGGCCGGGGCCCCGGGGCCCCGGGCCCGGGGCAGGGCCACGGCATCCGGCTGCTGGAAGTTGTCCGTGAAGGGATGCTGCCGCAAGCGGCCCATGGCATCCAGCCGGATGATGTTCATGCCGTTGGTGATGACCAGGACCACGGTGCGCTCGTCGGCGCGCGACAGGCGCACACACCGCCCGACGAGGAAGGCCGATAGCCGGGTGCCGCCGGCCAGGCTGCACGATGCCCCCGGCCCGGGGGGCATGGTGCACCGGACCTCCGACACCCAGGCATCGCCGGTCCCATGGCCGGAGCAGAAGAAGTGCACCAGGATCGTCTGGCCATTGGCATCCACAAAGGGGCCCATCTCCACGAAGGAGCTGATCTTCGGGGTCAGCAGGTAGAGGATGCCCGGCGGCAGGGGCAGGGCCGGGGCCTGGGTCCCGGCGCCGATGTCGCCCTTGTCCAAGACCAGGCCCGGCGCCCCGGGGCCGTAGAGCAGCACCTGCCCGGCGGCCGGCCGGTCCAGGGCCTCCCTCGTCAGCAGGGCCTCGGTGGTGTCCGGCAGGCTGCCGGGCCGCACGGTGATCCGGGTCTCGGCCACCAGGGCGAAGGCAGCCATGTCGTGCTGGCCGAGGGGCTGCAGGGGCTCCACCCGGCCATGCAGCCAGGCCCCGGTGGCCGGGGCCCCGGACGCGGGCACGCACTGGCGGAGGCTCGGCCGGAAGCCCGGCGAGCAGGCCTCCACGCAGATGGTCTGCCCCCCGGGGCCGGAGCCCTCCAGGAGCCAGCCCTCGCGGCACACCAGGCAATGGTCCGCGTTGCAGGCCTGGCAGTTGGCCATCCAGCAGGGGAGGCAATCGACTGGGGTCGGATGCCGGCGGAGGGGCGAGCAGGAGGGTCAGCACAGGGCATGGTGACACGTCGGGCCCGGGGCAGCAGCAACAGCAGCAGCAGCAGCAGCAGAAGCAAAAGGGGGCCGGGCCAGGGGCGGGGACCGTGTCAGGGTGATGGCCGATGGGGCGCCAGGCGGCCATGCGGAGCCCCGGCCCTGCCCGGCCTCCGGGCGCTCGGCGGACGTACGGCCATCCGAGCTCAGGTGGAAGCCATCGGCGCACCCGGCGCAGAGCCGGCCCTCGCGGGCAAAGAGGGACAGCGCCCGGCCCGGCCGGCAGACCCAGTTGAGCGGCCCCGGGGCCGGCTGCCCCGGGCCCCGGCACTCGATGGTGGGGTCGGTGTCGCAGCCGAAGAGCACATTGTCGAAGAGGACACCGTCCGGGGTGGCCAGGACCCAGCGCGGGCCGGCCGGAGTGGGGACATGCAGCATGGCCAGGCTGCCAGCGGCCTGGCCGCCGGCGAGGCCGGCCGGGGCCGTCAGCTGCCTCCAGTGGAAGGAGTCGCCGGTGACCTCCACCCGCCAGATGCCCCAGGGGGGGCCCGGCTCGACATAGTACAGGAAGGGATGCGGCTGGAGCAGGGCCGTCGGCGGGGGGTTGAGAAAGTGCCCCTGGCCGCGGATGCCGGCGGGGAAGGGCCCCCGGAGGGACTGGCCGCCGGCCGCCGGCCCGAAGCGCGGGTCATAGGCAAGCCGGACCTCCAGCTCGGCCGCCCCGGCCGCGGCATAGACCAGCACCAGGTCCGGCGGGGCCGGCGGCGCGGTGGCAAGGCGCGTGGCCAGCAGGTAGCTCAGGCCCGAGGCCGGGTCGAAGACCGAGTGGCCGACATCCCCCTCGGTCCAGACAATGCCCACATGGTCGGCCATCATGAGGTAGTATGTGCCGGGCTGGCCGGGCGAGGCCCTGACCGGGCCCCGGTACCGGCCAATCGACGTGGTGGAGGCTGTGCCGAAGTCCATGACCGCCACCGGCATCAGGGCCCCGGCCGAGTCGTCCAGCGTCAGGAGCTGGGCCTCGCCCGGGGCGCCGGCATGCCCGGCCAGGATCACCGGCGCGCCGGCCAGGGGAAGCAGCCGAGGCTCGGGCTGGGCCCAGAGGGTGGCCAGCCCGCTGCCAATGGTGATGTATGCCGGCGAGTGGCTGGCCGAGGGGAGGATCACCGGGTGGTAGTTGTACGGCGAGGGCATGGGGCTGGCGCCGAGCTGCAGGTCGTGCGGCGCCATGAAGAAGACCCCGTGCCGGGTGTCGGCCAGCGTGGTCACGTTCAGGTGGCTTTTCAGCAGGAAGGACTGCATGTTGGCCCGCTGGGTGATCGTCTGGGAGAGGGCCTCCCCGCCGAGGAAGTTCCCCATGTGGATGATGTCACTTGCGTCCTTGAAGAGGGTCAGCGGCTCGGGGGCCTGGTTCAGGGGGAGGTCCGGGCCGAGGGTGACGCTGCCCAGCGAGGCGTCGGCCGGCCCCGGGCCCCGGAGCAGCAGCAGCAGCAGCAGCGCCAGCAGGAGCACGAGCATCGGGCTGCCAGGGGGCCGGGGGCCGGGCGCCGTGCGGCGCCGGGGCGGGCGCTGTGCCATGCCCGTTCCGGGCCCGGGAGCCGGCGACAAGGGGGGG